GGTATGTGAATTCTATAAGCCGGACACACTGTCCTATGACACTTTTGGTAGAAGGCGGCCATTTTGAAAAAAATTTTGAAAAATGGCCGCCATTTTAACATATTTTACTATAACTCGAAAAGTAGTGAAGCGATTTTGTTCATATTTGGTATGTGAATACTATAAGCATGGCACACTGTCTAATGACACTTTTGGTAGAAGGCGGCCATTTTTCAAAATGGCCGCCATTTTAACGTATTTTACTATAACTCAAAAAGTAGTAGAGCGATTTTGTTCATATTTGGTATGTGAATACTATAAGCATGACACACTGTCGTATGACACTTTTGGTAGAAGGCGGCCATTTTGAAAAAAATTTGAAAAATGGCCGCCATTCTAACGTATTTTACTATAACTCGAAAAGTAGTGAAGCGATTTTGTTCATATTTGGTATGTGAATACTGTAAGCATGGCACACTGTCTAATGACACTTTTGGTAGAAGGCGGTCATTTTTCAAAATGGCCACCATTTTAACGTATTTTACTATAACTTGAAAAGTAGTGGAGCGATTTTGTTTATATTTGGTATGTAAATACTATAAGCATGGCACACTGTCTAATGGCACTTTTGGTAGAAGGTGGCCATTTTGAAAAATGGCCGCCATTTTAACGTATTTTACTATAACTTGAAAAGTAGTGGAGGGATTTTGGTTATTTTTGGTATGTGAATACTATAAGCATGGCACATGGTCTAATGACACTTTTGGTAGAAGGCGACCATTTTGTAAAATGGCTGCCATTTTTGCTATATACTTTGTTTGTAAAAATGCCATCCATGACTGTTCGATGGGATTCGCTACGCTTTGGCGTTGCCGTTGTTCTGGTTATGAAATGATGATGACTGATGAAAATTGAGGAAAAGCATCATGATATACTCTAACTTGTTAATAAATGTCAGATTTCTCGATTAATGTTATGTTTATAAATACTAAATAAAGTGTACGATATACAGGGTATGACAGGAAATCGCACATTGTCTGCAAGCTCAGTCAGTTTATCTCCTACACCCTGTTCCCCTTAAAGAAAGCATGTTCTCTGATATCTTATGATAGACTCTTTTGAAGATTTATCTTTATGCCAAAAATAATATTCCTTATATCCTTCAATAAGGAAATGGAAGTTATAGGTTTATGAGCATCCAAATCGATAATACAGTGAACTGTTACTGAAGTGAATATAGAGCTGGCCCAATATCTAGAAATGAATATACAGTGAAACCTATAAAGTGCAGGCCCGTAGCCAGGATTTGCCAAGGGGGGGCTCAGTTTTCAAAAATTTTCAGGGGGGGTTCACATTTGTCTTTTTTGGGCCCAAATATGGCTAAAATCACTTGAGAAGTGCTCAAAATGGTGAAAAACTGCATGATTTTGAAAGAATTTTTGGCCAGGGGGGGGGGGGGTTCGCCTGAACCCTGCGAACCCTCTCCCTGGCTACGGGCCTGAAGTGGAACAGTTTAAGTGGAACACCTCCATTAGTGGAACACTTTCAGAATTCCAAGATAAACTGAGTTAATGTTAAATGAATCTCTAAGTAGAACACCTCCCAAGTGGAACACTTTTAGAGGTACCATAGGTGTTCTATTTAGACAGGTTTTATTGTATGTCTAGAATGAATATATGTTTGGTCCACCATCTACTGAATACCTTTAATTACTGATGAATTAAGCTCACTCAAATTTCAGACTAGTTCATACAGTATTAAATATCTTTTTACAAAATTACCATCAGCAGCAGAAATATTTTTGAAAAAATGATTGCTTTATTCAGTCCATGTGTTACTACAAGGAATATAGGTGAATACATACAAATAAGCTAACATCTAGTTTTGAAATATAAAATAAACACAAAAATTAGAACAGGGCTGATAGGTGCGCCACCTATCAGCAGTATTGAAAATCATATTTCTGCATTGATTACACTACTTTCTACAGAAATGCTAAGATTTGGCCTTCTGCATTGGAACCCTGTCTTAAAGGGCATATTATCTATGCGATGTAATCTTGGAAGATTTACCAAGGGTATCTTCAACATCAAGCTTTCAGTTTAGACCTACTTAACCTGGCAATAGGCTGGGCTTCCTGGTGAATCTTAGAATGAAAAAGTGAAAGTCCAATTTCAAACTTGATTTTAAAGTGGTAAACAAAGATAAATAGCAAATACATGTCATATATCAGACTAAAGGACAGTCTGGTAGCTTAAGGTTTTGGTTTGTTGATTCATGCCAAAATTAATATTTCACTGGATTTATTTCGTACTTATTGTTTAAAACCCCAAAGATTGCTGACTCATCAAAAATATGGCCTCTGTAGATATTCTGAACTATGCACAAGTAATCTGATTTTATCTCTTCCAAGATTGAAACTTTATACCCATTTTGTAGCTTGAAAACCATTGAATATGCTTTCATTCCAAGTATTATCAATCGTGCCTTTAATCCTTGAGTTTTCTAAAAGTACTTGTTCTTGCACAAGTTGAAGGTTAAGTGTCTTCAGAGTAAAAAAGTACATCACAATTCCAAGGAAGACTTTTACTGGTGGATCTTGTACGATATACTTCTACTCGTGTTCTTCAGTTCATTTTGGATTCATGGATCTTAATTCTGATATATGGTAAGAGTCATGCAAAATTACAAAATATTTATTGATGATCGGTCAGTAAAACTTCAGTGTTTGTTTTGTATGAGAGCATTGTTACTGGAAAGCATTTATATAAGCATTACATGATTTTCACTATCTTATATCAGGGGTTTCATTAGCAGCAAGTGACAGGCGATTTTCACCAGTTGTTTTCACAAAATCGCCTGTTGTTTTTAGAGACTTCAACTTTTGCATGTTAGATTTATGATTTCCATTTATTTTGCATGTTCTTTTCATTTATCTAGCCTGTTGTGAGTAATTCTAGTGAAACCCCTGCTATATAAACACATGTATATAGGGAAGTTTACGGAAAAAAGAAAGAAGACAATACAGTCCTAAGCAATAAAATGGAAAAACAGCTCAATTTGTATAGATGACCTATACGGTATCAATAATGACAGTATATCAGAAAATATCAAGGAAAAATGAAAACCTAATGAATTGAAACTGAAACATTCATTTGCTTGAACAGGAAAACATTCTTGGTAAAACTATAACCGCAGTGGGCTTCTGTATTGTGGATATTTCTTGCTTGTTTGCAGGAAATATCCTGGAGAGAAAACACTCTTTTATTTCCCGTTGTGAAACCATTAAGGTATTTCATATGACTACTGATTAAGAAAAATACACTTTAGAACAGTATGCAAAAAAATGATCCGTAGTATATAGTCAGGGGGTCATCTACAGAAACTTATTTTAAGAATTCTCAAAACAATTATTAATACAAATAAACAATGGATTTCCAATGTTTTTCTCACATAGAAACCAACTGATATGTACAAAATTGGTATTAATTAACAAAATTAATGAAAGAATTAGCAACCAAATCTTTTTGATATACAATTTCCAAAATATAATATGATAAAACCTGTCTATTCCAAATGCCACTGTGATTGGTGAAAAGTGTTTGAATAGCTGGTGTTCATATCTCAATAGCTGGTGTTCATATCTCAATAGCTGGTGTTCATATTTCAATAACAGGTGTTCAGATTCCAATAGCAGGTGTTCACATTTCAATAGCAGGTGATCATATTTCAACAGCTGGTGTTCATATTTCAATAGCTGGTGTTCAGATTCCAATAGCAGGTGTTCACATTTCAATAACAGGTGTTCACATTTCAATAGCAGGTGTTCATATTTCAATAGCTGGTGTTCATATTTCAATAACTGGTGTTCAGATTCCAATAGCAGGTGTTCACATTTCAATAGCAGGTGTTCATATTTCAATAGCTTGTGTTCATATTTCAGTAGCAGGTGTTCACATTTCACCTAGAAAAAGTGTTCACAGTGAGAGGTGTTCAGATTAGAGAGGTGTTCAGATATACAGGTTTTACTGTTACAGTATATTAGTAGATCTTGTATGAGTATTTGCTAAGAATTTGTTTTATGAAGATCTGAACCAAAGGTGAATAATCGTAAACGTGGGAGAACTTATATTTGGAAAACTATTGCCTAATGTTGCTTGATTGTAAAAAAAATGTTTCAGAAATAGCTTTAGAAGAAACATTTGCCAGAAAATCTGTTTTAAGATTTCTATCCTTTGCATGAAAATATATTTGCTTCAATCTTATTCCATGGTATTCTCGTACAAATTATGTGCTTAGTTAGATGGTGTGTTGATATCATTTTATTCAACCTTATGCTCATCTGTATTAATTTCTTTGTCGTTCTTCATTTCTAATTATGTTATATAAATAAGATGAGAAATTAGGTTTTATGCTTAGGAAGGTAACTCTTAAATGTATAGGTACATAATTGCTTCACCTTTCCCCAAAGACATATATACATATCCCATCATCCTTTTGTATCTTTCCTGAAATGAATATCTCTCATTAGTGGAAACATGATGTTTTCAATTCTGGGATATGACATATTTGAAACAAATTCAGAATCAATCCTTTGATCAGTCTTGTTATTTTTTGCTATTTACATTTTTGTAAATAATTTTCACTTAGAAGTTTGTAAAATATGGCAAAAAGCATTGCATCCACGTTTCATGTAATGAAAAGAAAATCCCTTTGAGCCATGCTGGTAGCTTAAGTCAAAGCATTTGAGCTTTACCAGACTACATGCATATCACTGAGTTCCCAATTTCTGCATTGCACAGTCTCTTTGAAAAATATATCCATTGCGATAATTTTGTTTCAAGCATGAAATAATCTAGTAAATGATTTACTGGAATGTCAATGTAATTGATGTTTTTTTATTTACATGTTAATAATGATTTTGTATATGTAATTGATGTTTTATTTACATGTAAATAATGTTTTTGTTTATATGTAATTGATGTTTTTATTTACATGTAAATAATGTTTTTTGTTTACAGGAGGTGCTACATGTGGCTCAGACTGAGATGCAGTTGGCGGCATGTGCAGCATTTCTCCAAATCCTACGTAAAGAACTAGTCCCAGTCTCAAACTACACGCAAACATTCCTCCAGACTATATTGAACAGTTTAGATAGCAGAGACCCAGGTATGTTCTCCTGTCCTATGTGCCCCTGCCAATGGTATGTACCCCTGCCCAAGATATGTGTCCCTGCCCAAGGTATGTGCCCCTGCCCCAGGTATGTGCCCCTGCCCTGGGTATGTGCCCCTACCCTAAGTATGTGCCTCAGCTATATGCCCTGCCCCAGCTAGGAGTCCATGCCCCAGATATGTGCCCCTGTTCCAGGTATCTGCCCTTGCTCCATATCCTGTACATTCAATCATAAACTAGCATAAATTAACAGTTTTAATCAGGTATCATAGCTTAGGATGAAAACATGATTGCCACAAATAATCGAGTTATTGAATCCATTGCCCAATTGGCAATACTTCATTGCCAAAAGTGAAGACTGGTTATAAATTGCAAGCTGGCAGCTGTGAGTTTCAGACCCTGGTTTTTATTCGGGACTTCTCTTAAATATTACCTTGTAGCTTAACGTTAATTTTTGAGCTGGAGTTTAAAAAGACTCATACAAGTTCAAAAATGTTCAATTTACTGCCTTAATGGAATAAGTTATTACACCTCTTAAATTGTATTTGTTAAGTGGCAGAAGCAATTTAGTTAAAGCAAGAAGGGACACTTGGAGCCTAACTTCCAAGTTCCTTTATTGATATGAGAATACATCCTTTCTCTGTTGGGTCCTTTGGAGAATTGGTTTTCAATATTTAGTATATATCATGCACCGTTTGATTGCTTTTCCTGGGTCTCAATCTCAATAGGGACTTTGGAGAAATCTATAATTCATTTATTTTGTCTGTTACATAACATTGTAGATAGATCTAGCCAGACATCAGACTCTATTCTTAAATTGATTGAGGTAGAAATGGTTACTTTAAAGACCCCCTGCTAAAAGCTATTCTCTGAAAAATTCATAATTGAAAGGCTTTCTTGTTTGTCTATGTGATTAACTCGTGCTCTTTTATTTTCTTATTGATCATCGGAGTTCTTCCCGTATCCATTGATTATTCCTTATTCAACTCAATTTCTCAGTAGCAAACAAGGAAACTGAACCCGCTGTGAGATACAATATAAGGTCAGCTTTGATCTTTCTATTCTTCAGATATTTTTACTTTACATTTTAATCTCACCACCAAATGTACTGGCATAAAGTTATAGTCTCCAATTTTTTTGTGGACAGTGTTCGGCAGTTTTGTGATCAGTTGTCGGCATTCAGTGTCTGTAACAAATGGCAGGTGGTGACATTTTGCATGTTAAATGCCTCCTTTATGGTCCAGTTATACAACTGAGAAAGTATGTTGATTTGTGATCATATGTTTTAACATATGTATACTTACTCTTAACATTGTTAGAATTTTGGAAAACCTGCCAATCTTAGCAATATGGCCTCCAATCCCCAAAAGATTACTAAAAATAAACCTGACTCTCATTGCATTAGCCAATATTTTTCACAAAGTTCTGTATGAAAACTTTGTATCTATAGACCATCTATATGAACTAATCACTTTATTTTGATAAACTCTTATTAATGACATCATTCTATAGAGAAAGTTACATTTACGATTTTTTTCACCGAGTAGAGTGATATCACTTATAATTCAATGTAGAAATGCATTACCCACGGTATTTTGACAATTTGCCGAATATTTGTAAATTTTGAAAAGTAATGTTTCAATTTGAAGGGTTCTTTAAAATGATTTTGATACGATACTGCCACCTGTAAAGATGTGCTATGCCCCAGTGCTGTTGGTTTCAAGATTATGAGTTTATTTGAGGTTCTATGCCCTGATATTTTATCAATTATCCAATTTTATGTCTTTTTTTCAGAAATAGCATCTGCATGGCTCGATACACTGTTAGATGTTATAGATCTACTCCCCAAAGATGTCATCAAAAAAGATGTAAGTTTTGTAAATTGAATTATATTGAAAATGGCCTCTACTTTTATACTCTTCATTTCTATTCAAATCTTTAAATAGAAATTAGCTCAATACAATGAATTATTAAAAGTATAAAGCTTAATCTTTTTTACATGGAATCCTATTCTTCATTGTAAATCAGAGATTAAAGCATCAGAAAAGACAAATTCACTGATTCCTGAAATTAGAAGTACAGAGTGAGCAAAAACAGTAGGCTGAGTATGCTCTGTGCCCATTTTTTGGGTCACCCTGTAAATAAAGTTAAAGTGGATGTTAAAGTTAAAATGATTGAAAACTTTGAACCGTATACTGCACTGTCACTGCACTGTACTGTACTGCACTGCACTGCACTGCAATCATTTACATATCTGATATATTCATTTCAGATCCTAGGTATAGCAATAGCCAAAGGTCAGTTGGCCCAATCTGTGCAGTCGAGGCTAGCTTGCTGTAAAATACTTGGCAAAGTAGCCACAAAGTTTGAACCTTTCGTGTGAGTATTAGGCAATGAATTTATTTTTGTTTTTCATGAGTAACGTCTATGAAATGTTCGTGCAGTCGCAATGATTTGAACATAACCAGAGGCGTAGCTGGTTGTTTGGCCAATGAAAACAAGGAAGGGCCTAAGGAGACTAGCTAACCATTAACCAAGGGGACATGCTTTTAGGAACATGCTCCTTCAGAAGTTTTAAATTAGAATTTTGATAGCATTGACCACAATCTGAGAGTTTGTGATCTCTTTGAATGTTTACTCAGTCATTAAGAAATAAAAATGATATAGTTTAGTTTAGTTTAGTTTAGTTTTATTGTTATTTACAGTGGTAGGTTCAATACAATGCAATACAATACAATACAAAAGAAAAGTAATAAAAAGCAACCCAGCCCACTTGGGCTTATCAACCACTAATGTTAAAAATTACAATTAGATTAATAACAAACAATTTTAAAAATACTAGCATGAATTTCTTAGACACATACATGCAGTTTAATTCAATTTACATTATAAATGGCATTTCTTCTTTTAAAATAACAAAGTTTAACAAAATGAGCAGCTTGCCTAGGCATTTTTTCAAATAAATACTGAAACTTTTGATCCGTAGTTGATTCTGTTTCTTCAAAAATTTGGTGATTTTGTAAATATATTTTCCTTATTTCCTTATAAAATGTACAATTAAAAATAAAATGTTCCTCATCCTCAATGTTGCCAGATTTACATAAAGTACATTTTCTATTTTCCAATTTTTCATTTCTAAATCTGCCTGTTTCAATTTCCAGTGGTAAAATTCCCATACGTAATTGTGCAATTAAAGATCGTTCCAACTTAGATAAATTTAGCAATAAATATGACTCAGTTTTGTATGAGGTTTTGAATTTGACATATGTTCTTAATTTTGGTTTCTTGTGTACTAAATCATTCCAAGTTGTTTCATATGTAAGCAGTAGTTTCTTTTTGACTTTTTCTATATAACAATACTCTAAATTCTCAAAATTATCTTGACAATCACATCTATTTAAAATTTTTTGGAGCTCTTGACTCCATTTACTATTTACAGTTTTATCCCATTTGAATATTTGTTTGGTAATTCTATTATCTGGCATCATTATTATTCTATTAAAGGTAAGAATAATCTCCAGATATTTTTCAATTTCTAAGGGAGTCCAAGCAAAATCACCATGCAATGCATCAAGTGGTACAAATTTATGAACTCCAGCAAAATATCTTTGAGCTCTGTTAAATACATTATTGCAAACTGTTGAACAATCGTATGCTCCCCAAACACCTACTCCATAATGGAGAACAGGCAAAACACATACATTAAATAATTTAGTGAATGTTTTATATCCAAGATCCTTATTCCATTTACATTTGTTAATTAATGACCCAAGTGCTCTTCCAGCTGAGTCTGATAAGGTTCTTACAATTTCATCAAATTTACCATGTTGAGTAAATGTTATAAATTCAGCACACAAACATAAAAAAAATCAGGTTATTCTCAACTTAAATAACCTTAAAATATTTTGAATGATATACACAATCAATAGAACATCTTTTCTGTCATGGTTGAAGTTTGATATTTTTCTCTAAAACTGGGTTTATGTGTGTACACATTTTGTATACATATTAAATACAGACATTTGCATACACAATTAAAGTAGCTTTCTATGATTTCATCTAAAAATTAAAACCCTTGGAAATACTAAATATGGTTTAAGTGCCATATATAAAAATTTATTTTAGAAATATTGTGGATCAAAATAAAAAAAAACGAAAATAAAGAATAAAAACATATTCCACAGGAGGGATTTGAACCCAGATCTTTTGGAATAAAACTCTGTTTGAGCCCAAAGCTCTAACCACTACACCAAACTGCCAAAGCTACCTGACAGAAGAAATTCTTTATCTATTTTATCATGGACGAAAAAAGTCTTATTTACATGCTTAAATTTCTTAAAAATGATCAGCATTACTACTAATAATAACATTTTGCATGTCTGAGTAAGTATTTTGACCTACATTTAGGATAAATGTTGTTTTATTCAGTTTTCATTTTGGGTATGACTTCCTGTCAAAACAGTGTTAAAAATGCAGGGCTCAACAAAAATTTTCAATTAGAAAATGATATATATCCTTTGATCAGCTGTTTTTGGCACCTGAACTCATCCTACTAGAAAGGTAAGAGCATTTTCTTGAGACATATGGCTCGAAATCTCACATTTCTCCTTCTAAGTCTTAGAAAGACACTTTAAATGTAACATTAGTTCTCTTATTTCCCATATTCACAAGAATGTCAGCAGACCATCGAAGAGTCAAATTCTTATGTGTTATATTTCTTAATTATGTTTTTCCCTTTTTAAATTGTGATTTATTTCTATAATTTCAGAATAAAAAAGGAGATTCTGCCAGTAGTTCAGTCTCTGTGTCAAGATGTGGACTATGAGGTTCGTGGTTGCATGTGCCGTCAACTTGATCCAGTTGCGCGAGGTCTCGGCCTAGAAGCGACCAAGAGTGCAATATTACCCGAGCTAGTTGAATTGACCAATGATGAAGAAGGCCATGTACGTTTAGCAGGCCTAGAGACTGTCGTTAATATACTCAGTCTTTTAGATGATGGTAAGTAAAAGGACTATGGTTCTAAAAAGTAAAGACCTCGTTAATCCAAACGTCCTCTCAATGCAATCATTTTTTCTTGATCCAGATTCTGTCGTCTCCTAGGCCATTGACTCACATATTAAGAAATCTTGAAATGTGAGCACCTTGTAGTTGAACACTTTTGGCTAGTCCCATATGGGTTCAGATCAGATAGGTTTTACTGCATTGCATGTAATGATTGCTCCAAATGTGAGAGGTTAGGGATGATCGTCCCAGTTGTGATGTAGTTCTGATATCTAAGTCCCAATACCAAAAATATGTTCATGATGATAAACCCCAATGAGGAATGTTCAGATTATAATCCACTAATGAAATAATAACTCAAAATATCGCAGCACACTCAATTACAACAAATATTCTAGATTTTCTAGCAAGACTTGCTTGTCCCATTACAAAATGTGTTGCTTTTTTTCTTAGTTTGAGGGGAATATCCCAGAATTCCCATTATTTATAGATGAACCTATCTCCCAATGAAGATGAACCTTTAATCTTTACATTCATCTATGAATTATGGGGTGTTTCCTCCTCGGTTTTTTCCTAATATGGTATTTTTAACCTTCAATGGTATCCAATTGTAAAAAGTATATCATGCTTATGTAATTTTGCAGATACATGTTCTATGACCATAGTGCCTTTAGTGTGCAAGTTCTGCCAGCAAGCAGTCCAGGCTGAAGATAATACACTCCCGGTTATAGCTAAACAACTGGGGAAACTATGTCATGGTCTCTCAGGTAAGAAGTGTGACTGTGATGCCTGCCTGGCATTCAAGTGAATTGAACAGGGGTACCAAACACCCCTTGTATGCTTTCAAAATTCATTGTGGATTGGTTAAAATGAAATGTGCAATAGATATCATAGATATTTTAACTTTAACTTTAAAGAGACTAAAGATTAAAGAGACCACCACAAAAATTAATAAACAAATCTTAATAGTCTCCAACTCTATGGATGGTGTTTGGGTGTTGGTGTTTGGAGTTTGGCATTTGTACAAATGGCAGGTGGTGACTTTTTGCATGTTAATGCCTTGTTTTAAGCTTTGTTGTGTCATCCTCATTGAGCAATAAGCCAGCTTTAACATAACATTATTTCTCTTTGCAGTTAACTTGACAGATGATCAGAAGAAATGGTTCGTAGAGTATTACAAAAAGTTATGCAGGATGGGACTGGAGAAACATCGGCAGCCTAAAGAAAGTGAACAGCCATCCAAGGTAATTGGATTTATGTATATTGCTGTATGAAATTTCAGGGAAACCACTTCTCCGTTCAACTTTTAATTTTTACACATGCAAAAGCAGACGTCTGCCTGGATCTGATATGCTTTTGGGCATGCTGGGGAAATTATATGGCAGGCATTCTGCTCTTCGAATGTGTATTTTTACAATAAAATGAGTTTATGTTAAAATGGGCACTATCATTTCAAATGATCATCTTTGGATTACAATGGCCATCATATTCTTCTATATATATTTTAGAATTTGTAATAATCGGTTCATGTTTTAGGATTTAATAATTATTTTCATAGGGAAGCATGGATATGGACACTTTGTTTGAAGAGTTAGATCTGTTTACTGAAGTCAGGAAACATGCAGCTTATAACTTCCCTGTAAGTAAAACATGAAGCTTAAAGCTTCCCTTTAAGTAAAACATATGGCTTATAACTTTCTTGTAAGTAAAACATGAAGCTTATAACTTCCCTGTAAGTAAAACATGAAACTTATAAATTTCCTGTAAGTAAAATTTGAAGCTTATAAATTCCCTGTAAGTAAAATATGAAGCTTATAACTTCCCTGTAAGTAAAACATGAAGCGTATAGCTTCCTTGTAAGTAAAACATGAAGCTTATAACTTCCCTGTTAGTCAAACATGAAGCTTATATGTTACATATCAGTAAAATAATAAGTTTGTTACTTCCCTGAAAGTAAAGGGTTAAGCGTATAATTCAAATGCAAGTAAAATGTTAAGCTTATCACTTCAGTGTATGTAAAATACTAAGCTTATAATGTCCCTGCTTGTAAAAGTATAACTTCAATGTAAGTTTAATATGTAGCTTAGGGAATTCCTTTTTGTAACACATGGAGCACATGACTTCAAAAATCCTCAGACGAACTTTGGAAATATGATGTTTCTTTCAGGCAATGATACTTTTTGCTGGTGCTAGACATTTCAAGACTGACTTCACATCAATATTCAGTCAACTGTGCAACGATCCACATTATCTTGTTCGAAAAACAATGGCTTATGGCTTCCATGAGGTATGTAAATACAGTAACACACATGTTTATTCTTCAATATAGCATAAATGCTTCGTTAATGCACATTTTTATTCTTTTAATATGTTACCTCAGTAATGTACATGTTAATTGTATGTGATATATTTCTTCAATGGCTCAAAACCATGAGAAATTCGTTAGAAATTGTTTTGACGTGGATGGCCACTCCAGAGAGTTGCTATAGTTCCATAATACTGTATATAACTAAAGTGACACAATGATTAACTGAGAAAATGTTTTTTTCAAGGTAACCAAGGTATTAGGAGGCAGTGTGCATTCCATACAAGCAGATTTCACAGTTCTACTCAAGGATACTCATACAGAGGTGAGTAATTGCTTTAAGAGTTAATGCTGCATAAATTATATGGTCTTTTATGGACATTTAAGAAGTTAAGCTCAAAGACAGCATGTTGTACAGACACAATTTTAGTAAATATCAAAAAAATAATGCTAATATTTTTAGTCTTACGCTATGATGGACATCTCAATGAAAAGCCAATATTTGTTCTAGTACTGGTAACCTATGAACAAAGTAACTTGATGTCAAGTATTTTCAAGAAAAATGATGTTAAACAATAAATTTTTACATTTTTATTTGCAGGTATTACGAGGAATCGTGTCTCATTTAGACGAAATACTCAACGCTTTCGTAAAAAATGGTGGAAGTACAATCACAGAATCCAAGATGGCAGCCATGTCGGAAGTGATCCCAGCATTATTACATTGCGAAGGTGTCATTTTCTCGACCAATAATTGGCGGTTACAAGAGGAGATGATGTCACAATGGGCGTGTCTTCCACATTGTTTGACCAGCGATCATATTTATAATAAATTCATCCCGGTCGTCTTCAATAAATTACACAGAGCTGTAAGTGGAGCATTTACGTTTCTTTAACTCCAGTTTTAGATTGAGAATATATTGAAAAGGAGCGGAGTTGTAATGTTTGATGTACAGGGTTATCTAAAAAATGAAGCACTTTTGAAATAACTCTTAGTTATGGTAGAATCATCATAAATGGTTGCATTTTTTGAGTCACCCTGTGTATGTGCATTGTAAATTATATAAAAAGATGTAAAACAACCTGATTTAGTTAACAAATAATTTCACATTATGTAACTTAAGTCCAATACTTTCAGCGGGCAATTCCAGTGCGACATGCCTCAGCTCACACTCTCCTAGTCTTTTTAATTAACAATTAAATACTTTCACATATTAACCTTAAGTCCAATTACTTTCAGCGGGCAATTCCAGTGCGACATGCCTCAGCTCACACTCTCCTAGTCTTACTCAGGCATTAAATACTTTCACATATTAACCTTAAGTCCAATTACTTTCAGCGGGCAATTCCAGTGCGACATGCCTCAGCTCACACTCTCCTAGTCTTACTCAGGCATTAAATTCTTTCACATATTAACCTTAAGTCCAATTACTTTCAGCAGGCAATTCCAGTGCGACATGCCTCAGCTCACACTCTCCTAGTTTTTTTAGTTTACAATTAAAATACTTTCACATATTAACCTTAAGTCCAATTACTTTCAGCGGGCAATTCCAGTTCGACATGCCTCAGCTCACACTCTCCTAGTTTTTTTAGTTTACAATTAAAATACTTTCACATATTAACCTTAAGTCCAATTACTTTCAGCGGGAAATTCCAGTGCGACATGCCTCAGCTCACACTCTCCTAGTCTTACTCAGGCATTAAATACTTTCACATATTAACCTTAAGTCCAATTACTTTCAGCGGGCAATTCCAGTGCGACATGCCTCAGCTCACACTCTCCTAGTCTTACTCAGGCATTAAATACTTTCACATATTAACCTTCAGTTCAATTACTTTCAGCGGGCAATTCCAGTTCGACATGCCTCAGCTCACACTCTCCTAGTTTTTTTAGTTTACAATTAAAATACTTTCACATATTAACCTTAAGTCCAATTACTTTCAGCGGGCAATTCCAGTTCGACATGCCTCAGCTCACACTCTCCTAGTTTTTTTAGTTTACAATTAAAATACTTTCACATATTAACCTTAAGTCCAATTACTTTCAGCGGGCAATTCCAGTGCGACATGCCTCAGCTCACACTCTCCTAGTCTTACTCAGGCATCTACGCAGGCAGGAACAGAGAACAGAAATCCTACAGAAACTTATACAAGGTAATATAATACACTGATTTATTGTCGCGATATTTTCATATTAAAAACAAACTGGGGGTGCCTACCTTGCATCATCATTTTCTGAATCTAAACTATCCGGTTTCTTACACTAAAATTGATATTTTTATTGTAAAGCTCTCATGCAGAAATAATGTGCTGAGCATATATGAGTGTGAAAATACCGAACATCCAAACTTTTAATTTCAAAATAATCCAATACAATATTACATGTACTTAAACATAAACCAAATTTTTACTTATATTTTACCTAATACTTTGTTACGAATGCCTTATTTTTGTTTTCAGATTTTTGTCACGGAAACAGCTCAAGGCAAAGGAGTTTATTCATCAGAATTTGCCACTCTTCAATAGATCTCTTTTCTAAGTCATTCTTTAAAGAACACTTATTCGAATATCTCTTAGAACTGTCTCACGACCCCATACCTAATGTCAGACTTAAGTTGTGCTCCATTCTTCCACGATTAAAGACTTTAGTTAAGATTCCAACTGATAGAGGTCTCTTACAGCAGTTGGAAATTTGTGTGAGAAAGTTATTAGTTAATGAGAAAGACATAGATGTACATACTTCGCTACGGAAGGCTGTGGAAAAGCTGGATAGGGTACAAGTTCAAATGGAATCTGTAAGTGAAATCAAATTACGTAGTTAGCGTTATGTTAAATCAATTTGATATTGAAAATAATCATTGAATTAACTATTCAAATCTTCAAGTTTTATATATGGTACAGTAAAACCTGGAAAGTGGAACCTCCCAGGGGTGGAACACTTCAAACTCCACTTCGTGTAAGTGGAACACTATTTTGGGGTACCAAAGATGTTCCACTTACACAGGTTTTATTGTATGAATTAGTGCCTAGCACTGCAGTAATGTATGGGTTCTATATACTAAATAGAACATGATGATATATAATGAATATAAAACCAATCATGATTTTATATATATACTATGAATTACACAGAACATCACCATTATTACTGGTGGTGAAACATACCCACTTTAAATCATGAAATTATGAATTATTTTCAGCTTACTAAGAAGATGTATTTTGAAGAAGACGTGATAGACAATAAAAAGGAAGAATTTGAAAAGAAACTCATAGAACAGGTAACCCCCCTATCACACCAAACTAGTTCTTACCCGTTCTTGCCAGTCTTACGAAAATGTCGTAAAATGGGCTCAATCTGGCTGCGGTCGGGATATATGTCTAAAATAATTAGCTACTTCGTTCATAAACAGTCTTCAATACGTCCATCTCATTCGCAGTTCGTTCAGGTCGCACCACCTCGGTGTGCAACGTAGTATAAACCGTCCCTTAGTCTAGAAGGTCATCATGACCTGATTACAGAACGGTATGGTCGCCATCGAATTTTGAATTGATTCAAAATTCTAAATCACATACCCCGTCCGGGAAAGTTCATGAAGTTCGTAAACGGACCGTAGTACGTTGTAGCTACGTTCATTCAGTTCGCACACAGTTTTAAAACCGATTCGGCAACGTTTTGACGATCACCAGAAAATTTTGAGCATGCTCTTAGTGCTGGAGGACCTACTCGTTCTAGTAGTTTCATGAAGTTTGTAAACAGATCCAAAACGGTTCTTAGTGGGTTCTTAGTACGTCAAGTCCGTTCGTGCACAGTTTAAGCCCGTTTTCGAGAACGCAGTGAGAACTAGTTTGGTGTGATAGTAGGGTAAGAGAGGAATTTACTAATTTAGGTTGCTTTAACAAACCTATGAATTTGTTTGATTTCAAAACTGTAGAAAGTTAAAGGTGCAACAATTAGTGCAGAGGGGACCAGTGTCAAAATATATTCAAGTTTGGATATTTTATCAAGGCTAACATATATTTTTATTATCTACAAAGAAACCCTCTGGATGAACATTATTTCAGCTGATATTCATCTTGAAATGTGGTTGATCTTAAAAATTCTATAAGTTTTTATAGAAGCTTTGAACTGAATTTACACTTCTTAATGCTGAAATTGATAGTTTATCCATACATTTTAAGAAAATAGGTATGTCAAAGAAGATGTTAAGCTAAATGTTTCCCTGTTAGCTCAGCAAAACTTTTGAATTTTCTCTCTACAGGCCTTGTTGCCCCTTTAAACTTGAAAATGAACATTGTAAAATTTAATTGTATGAAGCCCTCAGCTATAATATTTACTATCACCTTTGCTTCATTGATTTGTCTAAAGCACAATATTTCAGTATTTACCTACTCTTTTGTAAGCAGGACATACTATTGGAGACATTGTCATTAAATTGATTGAATTTTATATTTTAGGAGGAGAAAGAGAAAAAAGAAGAAGAGGCGAAATTGGGGAAAGACAAGAAAAAAGGTGACAAGAGAGAAACCAAAGCTCCTGTGAAAAAAGGTACATATTCTTTACTTTGTTTAGAGATTCAAGTTGTTATATTAAGAACAATCCCTCTAGTTGTCCAGTTGTATTGGCTGTCATCTGCAATCTTGTGTCCTTATTATGTCACCACCAGAAGTAGTGACAAGTCTTCAACTTTTTTATGGATCGTTTTTGCAGTCGGCATTCAGTGTTTGTTGGTTGGCGTTTGACATCTGTAACAAATGGAGGGTGGTGACATTTTACATGTTAATGCCTTGTAAGCATGCAAAAAATGCAATAAAAATTTAAGGAAGATAAAAAAGAAGAAATGTGTGGTATTGACGAACTTATTGAATAGCAGGCCCATAGCCAGGATTTACCAGGGGGGAGTGGTTTTACCAAAGGGGGAGTTTTGCCAAGTTTTTGCCAAGGGGGGAGCTTTTTGACAGTTTTGGCATAAAATCATGCGAAAAGTGCTCAGAATGGTGAAAAACTGCATGATTTTGAAAGAATTTCTGGCTTGGGGGGGATGGTCGCTTCCTCCACTCCCCCTGGCTATGGGCCTGAATAGGGTAGATTATATTACCAGTGACCCAAAGAGCAACAATTGTCATTGCAGATATACCAGTTTATAATACAAAGAACAAGTGTTATTTCTTTTCAGGCAGCAAAATTCCAGCAGCTACTAGTCTTAAAGACAAGTCTAGTGCAGCCAGTCTCAAAAATGCAGAAAAGGAAAAGAAAATTGCAGGTCAAACTAATGTAACCAAAGGTATGTATTATGCAATTGTACAATTACATGTCTTCAAGTATCATTTTTATGTTGGTATACTGTAAACTGTTATATGTAGTTTTATGATCTTTCTTTCTATAGAATACTCTATCAGTATAGTAGGGTACTAGCAACAACAAAGTACACTAAGTGTGAATTATGAATTATTGGATTTGGAAAAGAAACATTTAGTGTGAAGAGGGAGATTTTTAGGGTTCATACTGATCTGGAAATGCAGGGATATGTTTTAATTTCTAGCTCCTCTGAATTTTGATATAAAATCCAACATTTTTAAAATAATAAAATCCCAGGTTTCAGGAAATTTTGTTTCCCTGAGCTAAGCCCTGTTTATCTGGGTTAAGTAAAAAAAATTGGAAAAATACCCTATTTTAAAGTTATACTTAGGAAGTAAAAAATGCTGAATTGATATTTCTAATTTTAAATGCCAGAATTGTTAAATCAATTAATTTCAAAGGTTGTACGAAAATGAGTCAAAATCTCAATATCCTATATTTTTTAAAATGTTAGCTAGTGCCTTATTATCAGAGTATTGGTGCAATGTGTTACCTATGTCAGTGTCATGTCATTTTTGTCATTTCAAAATGCTATTACTTGTAATTTAGTTTTCTTTGTACTTTAGCATCAATTACGCTTTCTTGTGATTTTCATCGTTAAACAATTTTCTGTTTAGAGCTTCAGATTGGTCTCATAAATAGCTTTTTAGGATAGATGTTCATTATTATTTCTTGTATTTGTCCTTGAATTGAGGAATGTAGATATTTTGAGACAGTTTCATTGTACAGTGAAACTTGTGTAAGTGGAAAACTTTTTGTATCTCAAAATACTGTTCCACTTATGAGGTGTTCCACTACAGAGGTTTATTTTACACCATTACAGTCATTTTGTAAGCGAAACTCTTAAAAGTGTTCCACTTACACATCACATGTGTTGCACTTACATGGGTGTTCCACTTCACAGGTTTTACTGTACTATTTTCATTCCTTGGTGAACCAATCGAATTATCAATGATTATTTTGAAATTTCAGATAAAGAGAAATCCAGTTCTAAATCCCATTGTCTTTTACCGAGATTAAATAAATCAGCATCTGACTCTAATCTTGCTAGAACTTTGAGCAAACTGCCAACAGCCAAGTCCCCCCTTACGCGAAGTGCTTCTCAGTCAAAGGTGTCGAGACCTAGTTCGCTATATGCCCCACAATATTCCCTCTATGCAAATAATGCTATGAGTAGATCTACCAGTGATATTAAAATTGAAGAAAAGTCACTTAAAAATGGAATAGTTAAACCCCCAAATGGATTAGTTAAACCCACAAATGGAATAGTTAAACCCCCTAATGGATTTATTAAACCACAAAATGGTTTAGTGAAACACCAGAATGGTGTGGTTAAACCAGTTTATGGTTTGATAAAACACAAAAATGGATTAGGGGGACCAAAAAATGACAGTGTTGTTGCCAAAAATGGAATCAAAAATTCTCTAAATGGAGTAAATCCTACTGATGCTGTTAAAATTGCCAGCAACAATACAAATAGTCCATCTAAAAATGACCATCTACATCCAAAGTACAAACAGGATGAAACTATTGTTGAAAAACAAAATAGTAGAGACATCTCCGCAGCTGATGAAGCTTTGCTCAAAAATGGAATTAATTTTGTCAAAAATGGAAAAATTCCAATCAAGAATGGTCTCAGTCATAATGCCATGAATAAACTCGTGTTGATGAGTGGTATTCCGAGACCAGGATCTCCCCGGCCTAATATAAGGACTCTGTCCCGTATAGGTGATTGTTTATGTCTATCGAGAATGGTTTTGCATGATAGCAAATTTGAGTTATTATTTTTGTTTGCGATACATTTTGATGGTCATGCTATGATTACATATTTTTTCTAACTAAGTCAAATTTTATTTTTTATTTGTTTTTATTGTAGAATACATCAAAATGGAATGACCTAAATTATATCATAAAATGTGGAATATTTCAAGGAATCCTTAGGTTATGATCATCAATATGTTCCTTACTGCTTGTCCATTATCTATACTGCTTTATGTTTTTGGGAATTTTATTTTTGATTTATATTTTTTGCAGAATGGTGTTTGTAAAGCATGGCTAACTTTTATATTTTTCAGAAAGCAGCATGTTAACATGGTGAATTATATGATTTAGTGCCAGATTTTTCTCATTGTTTAAACATTTGCATGTAAAATATTAATGGCCTAATAAGCATATAAATATATTAATGTGTGCCATGAACTTACTAAATAGGATGCACTTAAAAAATGATACACATATGTATATTTCTTGTTACTTAAATTAAAACACTAATAGGAACCGGGTGTTGACAACGTCTCCATGTACAGTTTTGTGCTCAGAGTATTTGAGAATTGATGTGTTATTAGTACAATAACGTCATTTCATAAGGCAATATAGTGAAATATTGGACCAAGGGCTGAAGGCCTAAAGTCCAATATTTCACTATTTTGCCCGCAGAAATGACGTTAATAGTATTATTACCACCATTACCAGCCCAGGGCTGAAATAGCAAGAACGGACTGCCATTGAACGAAAATTATACTCACTTAACGAAATCTAATTTCCTGGGGAACATTGCCGGACTGTTAATCCAATATTGGCCCGCCGAGGTCACATATTGCTCAGGTCAATATAGAAAAATAAAAGCCTTCTAATCTAGCACTTACACCCCTAGAACAGGCCCGGCAAGGTGGTAATAATAGTATATACTATATCACTCATCCTATAGTATTAAACTAGACTGATAAACACTATTAGCATGAAATGGAAGTTGTAAAATAGTAATTTATATAGCAAGTGTGCAACCAGCAGTGTATTATGAATATTAAGATTTTGTAATAATAAATGAGTTATTTATTTTGTAAGAGTGACCAAAGAAAATATTACTGGAGTTTCTCACTTAGGTTCGTGGGTGTTTATTTGAAAGAAATGTTCCCTCATTTTAAAGGCCCATGGGCATTCTTTTAAAGTGTATTGAGTTTTTGTAAATACATGTCCGGTTGGCAAAACATTCCAGAAAAGGATTCTTCTGCATTGAAAAACGACAATTTAATGTAATAACAAGATTGTTGCATGATGCTGAAGTGTCACTTAAAGGCCCATGGGCATTCTTTTTGAGGGATTTCAAGTATGCCCAACCCCATGCGCCTAAAAGCCTATGTAAAATAAATGCCCAGTGAGCGTATTAGCGAGAATCTCCAGTACAATTTGATATCAGAAGATGTATTGATGACAAACTCCTCTTTTAGGAAGAATATTCTTATGATAAACCCTGTAAATTAGAGATGAAATATCCCACTATATTTACAGCTACACCAGTCGCATCCAAAAACCTCAAGAATGTCTCAACCAAAAGCAGCAATAATTTAGCATCGCCCAAACTAGGTAGTCGCAACTCCCCAAGCAACCTGAGTAGTGGCTCTAGTAGCAGAAACAGTAGTGCTGGCTCAACAGGAAGTTGGTGAGTAACTGAGCGGCACATCCCCCTCAGGATGGTGCTTCTTATCATCAAATTACATAATTCATAGCATCTTTGTCGTATCGGAAAAGCTACATTGATCAAAGTGTTTCTTTCAGATGAGTCTGTTTAAAAACTGGTGTACATGTACATTGATTATTGCATGTTTCTTGTACATCCAAAAGGAAAGTGATTGCATAGATATTGAAGAAATTATAAAGAACCAGGCCTGTTTTGGTGTCACATGTACATAAATACATGGGTGTCTACTAATACACAGGGTGTCCATAACACCCTTTGTATCAAATAATATATGGTATCATTTGTATATAGTCACCCGGGGAAATATGGGACCTCGCCCTACCATTCAAAGGAGGAATCTACCCAGCATTCTTACCCTTCAGTCCCTAAACTTGTCAAAAAGTATATAATACTATATTCAAACATAATTTAATTGTTATGTGTTTCTTTTGGTTTTCGTTATCTTTTGGTTTTAGTCTTTAAATTTCTTCTTTAAATTCATGCTGTGCTAATAAAGTTTTACAATTAACAATCAATAGTATAGTACATAGATAGAGAATACAAAAATGACAGTAATATTAAAAGCATTTTGAAACATTTGAAAAAGTCTGAGCAACTAAATATTTCACAGTTTCCCTTGTGACTGTGTTTATCACTACCTTTAAGAAGAATCCTATTTGAATATGAATGGTATGTTTCCAGGAAAGGATCAGCTGGAAGTGCCCCTCCCCAGGCAATAGCCCCACCCACTAGTCGCAAAAATTCCATCCCTAAAGAAACAACAGCCTCAGGCTTACCAACTCGGAAGAAATCAGGATCTGGGGTATCAACCACAGGCGTCAAGTAGGTACCCTAACGTGTATGAATTTCATTAGAATATGTTGTACCAGGTCGTTCAATAAGTTATAGTTGTAACATTTTCATGTAACACCCCAAAATTTCTTGTTTTTGATTTGTAAATCATCAACCTCTCTAATTTGAGTTGAGGAAAATAATTTGGTGCGACATATATTTGATTGTTGAAGGTCAATAAAGAATGAAAGTTGTATAAAGCTCCCGTTATTAGTTCAAAGATCTTTCTGAAATATCATAACTCATTAATATTGTGACATAACCTGATGTACACATACTAATAAAAAAAAAAATACTCATGTGCATGAATTTAACAGTTTTTCATGTTTGACTGATGTTTTTGTTTCTTCCAGGAAAAAGCCATTATCAGACAAATCAAAATAAGGCTCAATTGGCAAACAGCTTTAAACTTTGGTGCCACAAGTCAGTAGGTTTGACCAATAAGGACATTCCAAAGTTGTGTCGTCATAACAACTTGAAATAATGCCTCAGTTGAACTATTTTTCACTGATGTGTTATAACAAGACAGTGCTAACAATGTTTTCAATTTTTGACAATCTTTGCTACATGGACTGTCAGAGATGTTACTAAAATTATGGTATGTTAATGCTTTTGAAAATTCTTTATGTGAAATTCCTGAGCAATATCTGAAATATTAAGATCCCTGAAAGCCAGTTTTATTAAATGTTAGACTAGTTGTGGACAATCTTGGGCCTAAAGTTCCTTTACATGAGACAATCAAAAATTGATTTGAAGAGAACCTAGATTTTTTCAATTTTTGAATAGCTTATGTTCAGGGGTTTATTCAAAATTTTAATTAGCCTAATCCTGGCTTAAATGGATTTCAGCATTTCACTCCATTGTATATGTGACCTATGAACATTTTCACGTGATTTCATGAGGCACAGCTAGGCTCCTTCCTCACATACTACTTTCATAATAGCTCTTTAGACGGCAGAATCGCCGATACATCACTTGTATTCAATAAATAAATATGGATTATCCCATATGAGGTTCAGGATATTGGTATTATCCTGAGGCTAATATAATATATCTCAGCCGCGATGTAAAGCTATATCCTGCCCAATGATGAAAATCTACAACTACAACAATTCTACAAAGTGCTTTATAGACCCCAAATGCATCCAAGTATGGGATAAAATAGAATATGACATGTATGACAGCGGTCTGATCATGAGATAACTAGTAGTAGATAACCATTCAATAATGTATATGGTTTCGATAGTTTGCTAATTTATTTCTGTGGCATAACCAAGAATAGGGACATTTTGTTGTAACCAATTTTCTTAGTGGTTGGTGGTCAGCATTAGTGTTACAATTACACAGTAGCAATTGTTACACATTTTGTAACCATTTGCAGCTGGTGACATTGTCATGTTAATGTCTTATTTGTTATTCCATCAATTTTGCTCATATTTTATAGGTCATGTTGGCTTAGTTATATTGTTACTACAGTAATAAGATTGTAATGTATATCACGCCTCACAGTATTTCATTTTCATTTGCAGAATTAGTTGAATTTTGATCAATTTTTGTAGAATTGACAAATTTCCTGAAAGTATTTTATTTATGGTTTCAGTAGCTCTATTTCTGGTAGGAATTTACCCAAAAATGTCCGCTCTTGTTTATTTGCTAGATAACAGTACTGTCACATGGCTTAAAGTATTAAGGAATTTCAGAAAATTTCAGGAAAAACTTGATCAAAATCTGACTCCATTGAGTTCAATACAAATCTAGATTTATTTTTAGGGGCGCGGGGGGGGGGGGGGGGGGGGGTAGGGCATCAAGCAAGGGTTTCAAAATTAAGGTCATATTTGTTTAATTTTTTCCTATGGAAAAAAAACACCGCTCGCTTGGCCCACATCTTTCGCCATTCGATTTTCAGGAAATTTGAAATGTGTTGCTTTAAGCCATGCTGAGTACTTTTACGGCTGAGAATGAATGACTCACAATAACATTGTCATTTTCATCTTTCTTTTTCATCAAAAGCTGCAGAAAAATCCGAAGGAATTTCGATTTTGGCCTTTTGTAGTTTCTCTTGCAGAACTCATGATTTCAATTTGCAGAAAACTTGGAGTGTTTCATAATGGTTTTCATCTTTAAGTATAATACATATGAATTCTTTGTGTTCCTTAATCCTATAGCCATTTTGAAGCATTTTTTGTAACAACTTGAAAAGAAATGGAGTAGTTTGTTGATATGTTATGCAAAGATACGTTGAAATATGGCACAATACTCAATATTGGAGGACTTTAAGAATAATGCAAGTAGCATTTAAGATTTTTTAATCTATCAAAATAGATTGTTTATTAAACAGGTAAATTACCTGGAATATGTCTAGGAGTTGAATTATTTCTATTTTTATCATACTGACATCAATTTTAGGAATTGTATTTAGTACATTTCCTTATTCATTTTATTTCTCCAAAGGGACAGTATGATCACATTAGCTACTGAATGTCATATAAGAGTTACGTACATGGAATAGTGGGTAGGTACAATGCACAAACCACAGGGTGTCCCAAAACAATTGTAATAAATTGAGATGTAACTCTTTTTTTCTTCATCGAAAAACTTTTCATATGATAATGGAAATTCATTTTTCAAAAAGCAGTTAAAAATTCATAGAATTTTGTAAATCACTTGACATTTGACATTTTAGATGACATGTTCTAAATGATCTTCATCATGATAGATACAGAAACGAATGCAATTCCAAACATGGAAAATGGGTTATGGGTACTAAAACAAATTTTCCTCTAAGACTAAATAGATTTACCCGATGGAACATTGAGATGTTTTTGATAATTAAATTGACTGTCAGATGACTGATTTTCTAGAATATTCCTTCATCTCTCACTGAGTTGGGACACCCTGTAGTATGCTTTCATTCACCTACAACCCATTTGCACTTGATCAAATTCTTTGTACAGTTCCTGAAAATGTCATACTGATATTGAATAGTGAATGTTCAAACCCCAGTGCAAACCCTAGTCCTGGCTTAACCTTAATATTATTTAACAGGCTTCAGGGCTCTCACCAGGAAATATTTAGGGTGTGGTGCTGACATCTTCAGAATTACCGCTCAATCCTTATAAACCATATTTATTCCATAATACTACTGTTTTCCCAGGGAAATATGAAGGAATAAAAATCGTATTGAATCGTATTACATGAAAAAATCGTATTGTCCCCGGGAAAAAAATCGTATTGGAGCGTATTACATGAAAAAATCGTATTGTCCCAGGGACAAAAATCGTATTGGAACGTATTAACCTATTTTTGGTTTCCCGGTTATTTTTAACCTTGGCTAATTGATAAAAGCATTATCCAAATGTAACATTTTAAGGAGGAATGTATTATGGAATAAATAGGTTATTTCTGGTCGGGATTGAATATGGGCTTTATTCCTCGGAAAATATGATATTGACCTTGGGAAATATCATATTGACACTCGGTCGCTGCGCTCCCTCGGTCAATATCATATTACCCTTCGGGCAATATCATATTGTCCCTCGGAATAAAACCCATATTCAATCCCTCCCAGTAAATAACCTATATTTATGTTATGTTTTATACTTTTTACATGCTATTATTGTATATTCAGTCAAGTTTAGACTGTGGAAACAGTCATGATTTGCCAATAGGGTGTGGAGGGAGCTAAATAGAGTGTGGTGATGCACCACAGTCTAAAAGCCTGGCGAGAGCCCTGGGCTTTTTGTCCATGTATTATTTGACTTAGTGGTCCCAATTTGTTCATATACAGTAAAACCTGTATTAGTGAACACCTCTCTCTAGTGAACACCTGTGTTTAGTCAACACCACTTCAAGACACATTTTACGTTGACTCCTGTTTAAAATCCCCTCTGTAGTGAACACCTATTGACAGTGAACAGTTTTTTGTGGCTCTATAGGTGTTCACTGTTCACTATATACAGGTTTGACTGAACTTAAGTTTACAGTTAACGTGTACATGTATTTAGAATATGGATGTACACTAGATCTAGAGATAAAGGAAGATTAAGAAACTTATATTAAGAAACTTATATTTTGAATATTAAGGAACCTTTATTAAGAATATATTATACTATATTAATATTATTTGCATGTCATTGTTATGTTTGGTTTACAAAAAATTTGTTCTGTCTGTTGATTTATATCTATGTGTACATATTCTTGTGTCAATAACATTTTTTGTACATTTTATAAAGTGTATATTTGGTTTCATAAATACAAATAATATAAAGTGTATTTTTTTCTAATAAATGTAAAAATTAAAAATGATTATTATGTATTTAAAATGTACATATCAGATAACAGATAATAAATTTCATATTCAACCTTAGATTTAAGTCTTGTTCATGTTTTATATTAGGGTGTTCAAAAGGTTTTGCACCAAAGCTATAGATATGTGTTCAATACTTTTTGAACAACTATAATATCTGGTAGAAAAGGTTAACAAATTTCAATGACATTGAAGAAATAAAAGAATATTACCTGGTATTTGGGTGGGGGTATAACCTCTCGCGCAATATGTCACACGAGTTGGCAATGTTAACATCAAAATTCTTAAAGTAAACATCCTGTTGGCATATTTAGCTGGCGTGCATGGGAACCCTTTCTCATGGCTTAAAGTCTTCAGGAATTTCAAGAAAAATGAACCAAAATCTGACCCTATTGACTTGAATACAAATCTGGGTTTATTTCTAGGGGGTGGGGGGGGGGGGGGGGGGGGTAGGTGGTCAAGCAAGAGTTATTAAATTAAATTAAGTTCATATTTGATTTTTCCTATGAAAATGCCCTTTCCTCTAAATTTGAAATTATATGTAATGAGTCTACATTACTCATAATAAGCACTCAATCAAATCTCTTTTCCCAAAATTTCTTGGGAGGGAGGACCGCCCAAACTCACCGCTCCCTTGGCCAGCATCTTTCGCCATTAAATTTTCAGGTTTGATATTTGGTTGCTTAAAGCCATGGTTTCTTCCTACTGATCACTTGTAGACAGACATTTAGTATACTCCTCTTCCTCAATGAAGTAAACAATGTAACTTTTTACACTACCGTTCACATTTTTGGATGTCTAGGGACTATCCATGATTAATACATAACCAGATTAGTATGATTAGAATCGATTAGCTGAACTTTTATTTTCCCACTATTTCTCAAATAAATAACAAACATGGCTATAGTTCTTTAAATCATCGAATTTTAACAATTTATTCTCATTTAGACATAGTACATTGGTGGATATATTGCATAAATGGTTTAAATTCAAGCACAGCATGTATATGAGACTCACCCCTAAAAATTGCTCAGAAGTGACTAATGAATCCTCTCTCAAATCACTTGAGTAAAAAATAAAATGAAAGAGGTGGACACGAGGAATTGAACCAGGGGTATATTAGTTCAAGATAAATTAGTAAGTTTGCAGACTCTATGCTATCGAGGCTGGTTTGACAAACGTAAAAACTACCAAAATTGTAACTTGATCGTCATGTGACCTTGATCGATTAATGAAAACACAAAATGAAATCCTTGACTCTTATAAAAACATATGTTATCTTCTCGTGATATCAGGCCATTGAAGATTTCTGAAGCATCCTTACAGCAGGCAATGAGAGATAGAACTGAACACTGAACTAGAATTTAAGCCCTTGTAAAAATGATGATTCTTTGTTGTTTTATAAATAATTTTCCATTCAATAGCATCCAGTATCTCATCTCTTTGTCCCATTGCATTTGAAAAAATGAAATCTTAAAATTATTTAAATAGGTATGCTTATTTGAATTTCACTGCAATCAATGGATCCAGATTTGTTTTTAAAGGAACAATGATCTTTATCGGATAGTTCAACATTGGGCAAATTGGTATGAACCCATTGTCTTTTAATAAGTTAATTTTGCATCAAAGAGCTTTTACTCGAGAGTTGAATTTCATTATTATAACAGCAAATTATAATAGCAACATGAAATACATCAAAGATCTGAGGATGATGATAGGGACCAATTGTAAGATGCGAATGAGGTTGATATTGATGAGCTGGTTGATGGCCCACCCTGTAGTGGGCCAGGGGAGTATTCAGAACATAAACTGTAACAACCAGGTGACGTCATGTTCATGTGAAACGGATAATGGTCTGATTGACCTCTCACCTCTTGACTCCAACGATCCTAATTATCCAACGTAAGTAATGTTTTTTTTACATTGATGCCACTATTCTACTATGCTGCCATTGATATTTGAATGTTTCAAACATGTTATACTCTGATTACGCCACTATAATGTAATATGCTGACACCATGTTATACTCTCATTTCGCCAATATAATGTAATATGCTGAAACCATGTTATACTCTGATTATGCCAATATAATGTAATATGCTGACACCATGTTATACTCTGATTATGCCACTATAATGTAATATGCTGACACTTGATAACTAAATGTTTCAATGCTTCTTTAGGTTCTATGATCAGTTTGATCCTGACAACAATAACAGATACTCATGGAATGCTTGTTCTGACTTTACTGAGGATTACAGGGCTGAGTGCACAGATGTAGCGGTGAGAAACTTTTGAAGTTTTCCGAGAAATAAAAATGAAAGTAACAGAAGATTATTTTTCAATTTATATGTATCAGATATAAAATATAAATTGGCGTCTATTTTTCCCTGATAACACTTTCAATTAAAATTACTTTTCATTTGTTTTACAGGATTCTTCAAATCGTTCCTGACATGAAAATATTTGTATCCTCGGAATATTTCCTGTATCCAAATATCATCCTAACATCCTATAGGCCCAATGAACATAATATTGATACATATACAATGTATAGCTCTTAATTTTCATGTGCGAATGTTGATCCAAAAGTTCTGCACTATTTGCTTTAAAAATCCTAATACTTTGTGAATAATGGATCAACCCTCGTACACGCCATCAAATGCATCACTTTTCTCCTGAAGGATAATTCACTCGCCAAACTCAAATATTTGCAGGTTTGTCAGTACACATCAACGGCAGAGTATTATCCCCTGGGGACCCAAACCTCTGCAAAATTTGAGAATGACCCGACTGATGGACTCAGAATAACATACTCACAAACCTATTTAGGTGTTGAAAGGTATTCGTGGGGGAGGGGGAATTTGGTGGAAAATATTTCAAATGGTTATAGCACTAAGTAGTGTGATAGAAGCAAATGCGGACAGATGAACCTTAAATGTGAAATCTTTCGAGTACCTCAAAACAAAATTGTTTTTCCCTTTTGAGCCTTCCGTTAATTTCCATTCTCTACATTTTACATGTAGGACCACATATGTACAGCTCCTGTGTGATCCTTCTGCCACAACAGCAAGCATGGATGTTAAAGGGGAACCAACGCCTACCAATTTTGTGAGTATAAACACAAGTTAAAAAGTGATTTTGTATTTATGTAATATTGATAAACGTTCATTTTTAATTTTGATGGATAGCTATTTTATTTTCATAATTTCACACAAATACAATTGTTAAACATAGTTTTGGAGGGTATGAGAATAGCTACCATTTCTTAAAATGCCCATTCAATGGCCAAATTGTCATAACAAAGTGGAACATGCTTTAAATTATTTACGATAAAATTTCAACAAAATCGCGTCTTAACTTTTCCAGTTAAAGCAAAAAACATGAAATGATTCACATAAAAGTGGTGCCCATTCTTCTAATGTTCTACGAAAGTGTCATGTGCTTCCTAGTAGTCACATGTATTTCAATTAAATCGTTACACTACGTAGTTTTCGAGTTTCAGTAAAACATAAAATAAACACATAAAATCGCAGCATACGAGCTAATTTGGCATATGCGAACTCACATATCGAATATGAACAAAATCGCTCCACTATTTTTCCAGTTATGCAACAGACAAAATCCTAAAATTGTCTATAACGGCAACCGTTTTTCAAAATGGCCGCCATGTTTTTTAAATAGATTTTAAACTTAATTCATATCCTATACATTAAAGGGGCAACAAGGACTGTAGAGAGAAAATTAGAATTTATTTTTATTTTTTCTGTGCTATCAGGTCAATATTTGGCTTAACACTTTCTTTGACATACCTAGCTATTTTCTTAAAATGTATGTATAAACTATCAATTTCAGCATTAAGAAGTGGATATTCAGTTCAAAGCTTCTATAAAGGGAGTCCCACTTATAGATTTTTAAGATCCCCTACGTTTCAAGAGGAATATCAGCTGAAATAATGTTCAACCAGGGGGTTTCTTTGTAGATAATGAAAATATATGTTAGTCTTGATAAAATATCCAAACTTACATGTAAATATATTTTGATACTGGTCGATGATCGTTGAATGCCCCCCCGCACTAATTGTTTTACCTTTAACACTGACTGCTGTCCTACATGTTGTTCCTAAAATACTGTAAAATTGGCACTAAAATGCTGGCCATTTTGAAACCGATTGCTATTTTGAAAATCGGCTTTCGAGCAGAACTTGTACCTACAATGGTGCATATACGTTCAAAATATAAACAATACAAGTACTGTATTGTATTGTGTTGTATTGTATTGTATTGTATTGTATTGGGCCGATGGTATTTGAGTTATTGCCAGGACGTTCAAGTATTGTATTGTATTGGGCCGATGGTATTTGAGTTATCGTCCGTACGTATGTACAGACATAAGGACGGGCGTTCGGCCAATGTTAACGGACCGACGGGAGAACGGACGGATGGAACCGTTAATCCCTAACTTCGTTCGATGGGATAAGAACTAAATTGTAACAGCAGATGTATGCAAGTATGAGAGAAACTGTCTTCTTCACAAATACTTTCTTTATAGGTTTCTTTACTCATTTCATAAAAAGCATATAAATTATAACTGATGCATTTTACATTGCAGAAAATGTCTCTGACCAGTGCCTCTTGTTGTCCTTCAGGGGGTCCACCACCAGTAACTCCTGGACCATCAGGTGGATCCATTGTTGTCACTGTGGTTACAAGCATTAGTGTAGGGACCATACTTCTCATCATGTGAGTAATGTTTTGTTTAAGTATAATACCACTCTTTTATTGGCCAGCCTAATTGCTGAGCACTAGAATGAGTGCATGTTTTCACCAAATCTTTTTTTCAGACAGTCATTTTTGACTCACAAAGCCTATGGGATCGACTAGGCGTCGGTCCATGGATCCGTCAACATTGGTCACACAAAGTAATACCGCTATTTGTATTAAGTCATATCCACCTTTTTTATGGATATCCATAATGCCGATTTAACCTGTCATTGCCTCCAAGTTCGCCCGGTTTCCGAGATACGGCAAATTTTGACGTAAAAAGTCTTTAAATATCAGACACCTTTTTTAGGGTAGAACTTTTAAATAAATGTTAGTAGTTGCTATATGTGCAACACATGTCCTCTAAATATTAAAACGCTTTTAGTTTAATTGGAATTACAGTTTTCGGTGTTTACTCTGTAGCATTTGACAAAATGTAGCTAGGTAATTTTCAGGGAACTTCCTCATTATAAAGTCAATATTACTGCTGAATAAAATGAAAAAATAACAGGGAGGGGGGGGGGTCTTGATTGTGCTTTCCTATCGCCAAATCCTTCTTTAAAATGTTGTTTTGTGGCAAAGTTTAAAAATCTTATTTTGGAACGCTGAAGGCTATACAATGTATCATGTATCTATCTAGAGCCATGTTTTGTGAAGAACTGTCGTTTTCGACTCAATAAGTAGATCATCATCAAACTTTCACAACAAAATTTACAATGAATGAACTAAATGATTAAGAGATTTCAAGGCGATATATGCAAAATCATCCGAGTTATTCAACTTCGATCCTGTTTTTTGGACACCCTGTATCTCATAATGCAAGAAGACGAACTTCAATATTGATACTCAAACTGCAAAGTCCAATATAAATAATGTTGCATCCATGCATTATTGCCCCTTTTATTTCCAGTCTAGCTGTAGCACTGCCCCTGTATTTGGCAGGAGGCATGGTATTCAAGAGACAAAGAATGGGTGCACAGGGTGTTGAGATGGTCCCTAATATTGAGTTCTGGAAGAGTATACCTGGGCTAGCAAAGGTTGGTGATTTCCCTCCAAATATTTTATGGTTAAGGAACGTTTTAAAGCTGTTTGAAAGATTATTAAGATTTCCACAATTTTACAATATTTTGCTATCATTACTTCATACCGGGCCTGTCTTTTCAGTTGTACTAGTTTTGATCAAACATTTCAATGTTTTGTTCAGAAAATGAAATAAGGATTACAATGAAAAGAAAAATCAGTCTCCAAAAAGATTATGAATAAAAAAGCTGTCTCAGATTTTTTCAAATACTGGCAAGTTTACATATTTCTTTGCATTCGAATTTATGATCCAGACTCAAATATCCCCTTTACTCAAACACTGCTACCCACCTAGTAACACAGACGTATCGTCAGTGTATCATGGCGGAACTACTTCCGGGACTAGGTTTCGTATGTTAACGAAGACACAATTCACGTATTTAGTCCCTCGCTTTTGTTACACTGACGTGCGACCAATATCAGTGTAATATTGGCAATATTAATGCCGATCGTCAGTGTAACAAAAGCGAGGGACTAAATATGTGAAATGCGTCTTCGTTAACATACCAAACCTAAAACCATCGACACATTCTCAAACTAGACCATAACTTCGAGCCAAATTATAATCCACATCGTGACTTATAAGTAGATGTAAATCGAGAAATAAAAATATCTTACCAAATTCAAATCCCGGAAGTAGTTCAGCCATGATACACTGACGATACGTCTGTGTAACTAGGTGGGTAGCAGTGTCAAAGGGATGATATTTTCAAATGACATAGCATCAAAAATAAATGTGTTTTCATTTCAGGATGGTACGCTTTTCGTAGTAGGATCAATCAGGTCTAAGGTTGGAGGTCAAAGAAACTATGAAAATATATAATGAAAAATATGTGATTTGAGTCAATTCACAGATAGATATTCAATGTACAAAGGATTGGTATATCAATATGGCGAACTGAATTCAACATAATTCTTCTCTCAAACCAATTATTGAAAACATTTTGTAAAAAACACAATCCTTTTTGTAAAGGTCGCAAATTGACAACAATTTAATGCGAAGATTATTTATATATATTTTATACTATTGTTTTCGTGAACAATTTTTGTTTTTTTAGTGCACTAGTTTTTTCCTTTCTACCAATTCTTGAGAATGGAATAAAATATCTTTCCGAACCTTGTTGGAACAAAATAGCATCATTTTCCTACACCTCTCAATATTACAATTATAATTAAAGTAAACCATTTATTTCATGCTTTTTTAAATGAACCAAACTATCCTTTGTATAATTACTACATTGAGAGACCAAAACGTTACGTATATGTCATTTTGTTCCAATGAGGTTCGGATAGATGTTCCATTTCATTTCGAACATATGATACCGAGAACAAAAGAAGCGCCCGATGTGTTTTCTAAAACAATATACAGAAAAGTATATGTGTTCAATTAAGTTCGCCATATCGATTCCCAAACTTCGCACTTGAATATTTTGGAAATGCACAAACCCATGCAAATGGAACATGTTTAGACACATCAATAAAGTTTGAGAAGCATGCTGATATTTTGCGATGTAACGCAAATCATCAAAGATATGAATTTCTGATATATTGTAGTTAAGTCACAGTATTGAGATTCAAGCATTATTTATAATCATTATAAACAATGTATGAATGTAACAAAAATAGGAAATAAAAAAAGATTCAAACATTATCAGGTTTTGATTTGATTTACTTTCGGTTGCCAAACTTATGGAGGGGAGTGTATACGTATACTGCGTTATATATATGTATACGTTAAACATGTTATCGAGATTCAAAAACGTCATGGCATGGTTGAATGTTTTATGTATCAATTGACTATTTCATGTCATGATTGAATGTTTTACGACTTAAAAATATTTCCGATGCCATAAGTCGATGTTAATATTAAATGTTTATGTACTCTGTGCGAAATTGAAAGATGTATACGTAGATGTGAAGAGGAGTGCGTTATGTGCCCTTAACACAAGACTCATTACAAATCAACGAGAAATGGAGTTAACCCGAAGTATGATAATTATGATTCGTTCAGTTTTCTGGCATTTGTTCTTCTCAAACTCACTCTCAACTGTACTCACAACGATTGTGCTAGCCACGCATAATTAGTACTGAACGTAATCCGATTATTTCAATGCGCCGAAATCATGAAAATAGCTTATTTTACCTTTCAAATATATTGACCAATCTGGACATATCATTATTAGTTGTTTTCACTCATATACGCTATACCGGCAGTAGCCGATTGCCCCTTTTCATTTCTTTGAGACGCAATTGAAATTTCATATTAGCATATGTATACAACAACGTTTAAAATGTTTTTCTCTACATATTGCGATGTTTTTTCTTTCCTGGTTGATCTTAAATATTATGCCAAACATGTACTTTCTACACAGCCTTTGTGACCACTGTATTTGCAAGAGCTCATTTTTTGCAGCTGTTTTTGAGTTCATTGCGTTTCCTCGATCAAAAATGTAAACTTCGACTCCAGCTATTTAGCTTTTAAATAGGGTTAATTAATTAAAATACATCTACATTATGTTAACTCAAGCAAATAATTATAACAACTACATTATTTTTTAGCACCACTGATATCTAAGCGATGTAGCCTCGTGGCGTAGAGACTAGAGATTAATTGTGGTCGAACGTAGGGGATGCGGAGGTCCCCCGTTCGAGCCGCAGGTACGGAGTATTTTTGATTATTGGACTACAGGACACCCGGTATAATTATTAAACTTTTGAGCAATGTTGACACCTGAGCAGTGTAGCCTAGGTGGTTAGTGACTGTGGTCGTGCGTACCGAGGGATACAAGGTCCCGCGTTCGAGCCCCAGGTACGGCGTTCTTGATAATAGTTCTACAGGGCACTCGGTCCGAAGGTCCAACCGTTTACCGGCCCTTGGCATGGGTTGGTTCTCTGACTGCTCTTGTCGGAGACAGATTGTGAGACTGTGGTTGGTTCCTCCACTTATGGACTATAGGAGACGCCGGGAGTCATACAGTATGGTAGCGGGCCCCCACCAAGGGCAGTAGTGGAACGACGCGAATCGGTCCCAGTATGGTTGCCTTGCAACTGAAGAGACTCGAGGAAATCATGCCATTCGCAGTGACCCAGAAAAGACTTTTGCT